AACGCCCGGCCTAGCAGCGGCGGGGTGTCCTCGTCCCGCGGGGGAGCGGCCCTGTCCCCGCCGAGGCGCTGGTGCGAGACCCGAGACCCGCGGCGGGGTGGGAAAGCCGCATCCCCAAAAACAAGCGCAGTGGTAGAACGGCGAGTCGAGTAAATGGAATTACATCCGACGGGCAGCGCGGCTCCGCCGGCGGGATGAACTTGTTCACGTCTCCCCGCAGGTGGCTTCGTCCCAGGCGCCTGGCGCGCACGGAACGACCTGGCCGTACGGTTATGGGGCAGCTGGCTCTGTTTGAAACTTCGGTAGGTTGAAGACATGGATCCAGGAAAATCTCGGCTTTCTTTAAAAGAGTTCGTAACTCTTTCGGGTTGCAGAGAGAAGACTGGAAGCAGGACCTAAATGGGTCTCTAAGGCCTCAGAAACCGGGTGGCAAAACCCACCAGCTTTATAAGCTTCACCTTGAGATTTGGAAGGCCAACTCCACCTTCTGGTTTTCCGTTGTGGTTTTGTTTTTTTTTTTTAGTCTGGCAGTGCTGAAGATAACTGATGGGCAATCCTTTTTAACACACAATTACTTTTCTTTGTAAGGCAATGCAGCAATGATTTTATTTTATGAATACTTCAGAAAAAAAGTTTTCTGATACAACTGTAGGAATCAAGAGTATATACCGTATAAATCAGATGAAGTTACAAAATTCAAGGAAATTATTTTGTGGTTTTTTGTTAGGTAAAGCCCTGTAATGATCTTAATTAGCCACTGTTTCTACTAAACCATATTTAAAAATGTCTAATTTAATGAAAAACAAATGTGCATTAAAGGTAGCTCACTTCTCTGTGAATTCTAGGCCAGGTCTCATAATTATGTGACTAACGTATTGTTTTGCTCCCATTTCCCTGCAGAATCAACATAGCTCAAAGAGAAGGAATTGAAACCTATTCCTTCCTGTGAATCATCACACAAATTGTTTGCAGGACTCCAGTCAATTGCAGATGGAAACCCACTCAAGAGAATAGAGGTTTTCTCGTGGTGGGGTTTTTGGGTTTTTTTTTCTTTACTGGTGGTAATGTGGAAGCAAACTCTTCTGCTTGGAACACAAAGCAGAGGGTGTTGGGCAAGCTGATCAGACTTAATTCCCCAAGTCTATCTGTACTCTGATTTTGATATGCAGCTTTTAAAATATAGTCGTTTTTCACAGTAAAATATTTATTAAAGGGAAAGTAACACTAAAGGGCTTAATGCAATTAAGCATCAAAAAAAAAATCCTTTGTTTTCTTCATAATTTTAAGCTGGTTTGTTGCAGACAGTGCAATGGTTTGCCTTGTTTGGAACTGTTAATTTAATCGAAGTAAATGATCACAAATTCCATCCTCTGGAATACGCTCACCCATTTATGTACTCTCTAAATTAAATGTTAAATTACCAGAGCAGGTTACAGTTATAATAGCCTTTACCTTACTGCGTTTTGGTGAAGTTAGTTTGCTTCTAGATTTTTCTCCTGTTTTGGGACCAAAGAAGTGACCTCCACCTTCCAGCAAAGAAAGAATAATTCCATAAAGAGCATGTTAAGGGACAGAATGAGAAGATAAAAACTCTGCAGACTACAGTTCAAGAGATAGAACAGTAACAGTGGGTACAGGGCCTCAGCCTTCTTTCGTGGCAGGGCTTTCAATTCTTACCACTTCACAGCTGTAGCAGGCTGTTTCCCCTGTTAGTAAGGAAGCCCTTAGACCAGTGTTGCTTTTCTACTTGTCTTCATAGCCATATGCTGGGCCAAATCTCTCAGCCCTCGGATACCTTAAGTGTCTTAGTTCTGGGTTTCAGCTGTACTAGTGCCAAACTGCAGTTACGTACAACTGTGGCAGAGAAGATGAGGTTCCTGACTCTGTCAAAGAAGGTATCTGTCCATAGTTCAGTTTCACAAAACTTCACACAAACTCTTAGCTCTTGACCTGTAAATCACAGGGAATGATTTGCTTGTCTTCTGTACCAGAACAGGAAACCTAATTCAATGTCAACTGAGAGATTTACACAGCCATTAATACCAGCAAGTAGAGGAGCACACTAAGTAAAGTACAATACAATTGTACGCCAACAGTAACAAAACCCCCTGTCCTACTGCTACCAAATTCAGCAGCAAAACTTCAATGAGAATGGGACTGAGCCCTGAAGGAGCAAGAAATTATTCACTGTCTTTTATGTTTGTGAGCCAAGGAGCTTATGGCAGCCTAGGAGCTGTTTTAGTCTACTAGGCCTGTCTTTAATATTCATATTTATCAGTTTAATATGCTTCCTTCTTTGTTTTAAGATCTCTTCGGGATTTCAAGAATGTTGCATTTGCATGTACGTAGCTAATATTACTGTACTAAGAACAAATGGCCAGTAGTATTTGCTGCTCAGTTTTTTCTCCCAACTAAACCTAATGTGGCCTAAATGGAAATAGTGGAAAAAAAGAGCTGCATGAAGAATAGGGCCTAGAGATTGCAAGCCGTCAGTTTCTGATTATCAGAACCACCTCACCTCCTCTTACTAGGGTTCCTAGATCACCCAGTGGAAACAGGAAAAAATAAACCACTTCAACTTGGTGTTCCTTCCTGGCCTTGTATTACCTCAGTTCTTCATTCAGAAATACATGATATTGTACTTCAACAGTAGAACAGGTTCAGATGGAGGGTAGGAAAATGCATAAAGAACTGTCTCAAAAGCCCGAACTGGACACTGGGAGAAACATTAAAAACATGGGGCAAAGAAGTGCAACTAACTTAGAAACCACGAACTATACAGGAAGACCTGCTGATGGAGGGGTAAAAAAAAAAAAGTATTAGAGAGACTAACCTTACATTTATTCCCAGACTTCTAAGTATATGAAAAACACACCACAGAGGAAGAGAACTGAGAATTGCAAAGGAAAAGGGGGAGTAAGAGAGGCGAGATACAAGAAGACGGAATGAAACTGAGGTAGTATCTAGTACAGGAGGAACAAAGAACACACACAAGTGACAGCAAAATCCTACAAAAAAACCTCATTTAGAATTAAGGTTTTTTTCAATATATAAATTAGTTTATTTTCCTTTAGATATAAAAGTTATAAATACAATTCATGTAAAACAAACAGTATCTGATAAAAGAGCACTGCATCAGTTCATCTGTCTGCGTAATTTGACGGAGACCCAGAGGCCCTGACCCTGCTAGGATCATTTGATGTCAACAGATAGCTTGACGAGCCCCTGCTGACAAGCCTAACTGAAAGGCTGAGTAAAGGGATGCTCCTATGGCCTTCTGAGCAGAGAGAAAATAATCTTGACTTGGAAATTGGCATTCTACCTTCAGGTCACCCCAAACTAACATAAGGCAGTTTCTTTCATACAGTCCTAGTCAGAAAAATAATCAGACAGGTAACAAACTGACATAGTTTTTCTGGATGGGTAGAGGGAATGCAGAGCCATCAGCCAAGAACTCAGAAGAGCACAACTGGAAAACACTGCCAGGTCTTGTCCCCAGCCGGATGAGCAGGAAGTACATGAAGGCACAAAAGAGATCCATGATTCAAGTTCTCTTCCTGACTGCTCTGCTGATGAGATCATCTCAAGACAATGGCTCACCAGCTAAAGCAGAATGGCCATCTGAGAGATAAGCGAGCTGGAGTTCTTAGCATCAATTCATAATTTACAGTTAAATACAGAGTTTACACGATTACCATCTTTTTTTTTTCCTGGCAATATCAGAAAATGTCTTCACGAAGTTTCGTTATGTTGAAAGAGCAAATGATATCTACTACTGCAAAAACGCCAGAGACCAAAAGCAATAAATCTGGCTCCTTGGAGCTTCAAACAGTTAGTCTGCTGACAATGACAATATCCAAAGCAGGAGAACACCTATTCTTGTGTCAATAGAGGGACAGACTTTTCCAGGATCATCATGAATATGCATAATGGCCATGAAACAGGCAAGATAGTAACTGTTCTCTGCTTTAGTACACAGCAGATGTGTACACTATGAGGCTTACATGTCACAGTGTGCAGCAATTCACTCTGATGAATCAAGAAGCATTCCATGCTGTGACCTACAGTCTCCATATTGTATGTCCAGCATTAAAAATGGAACACTGGAAGGACACATTGCAAAGCCCCATGATATATTTATTAATTTTTTTTAAACTTACTGATGCCTTCAAAAACACCTGTAATCTCCTTTTGAGGTAACACCTTCTTATAATCAGGTTAACATTATTTATGTCATGACTTGATATAATCTCACGTTAAAAAAAGAAAAAGAAAATGAAATCAGTCACTAACTTATTCCTAAAAATGTAGAACATTTTACAAACAGTGGACAAAAAAAATATTTCTAATCAGCTTACAGTCTAGATTCAATCAACCAGAACACTGCTTTTCAGGAATAGTACTGTATATAGTTACAATACTATCTTCTGCCAAATCCAGTCAGATTCCATCATCTCTTCAGTCTCATTTTTCACATG